CATAACATGGATGAAACTGGAGGATATTATGCTGAGTGAAATAAGTCAATCACAAAAGGACAAATATTGTATGAGACCTCTACTGTAAAAACTCATGAAAAAGTTTACACACAAAAAGAAAACAATCTTTGTTGGTTATGAGGGACTAGAGGTGTTGGGGGGGAACTAAATAGACAATAGATAAATGGTAATTTTGGTGAAGGGTAAGACAGTACACAATACTGGGAAAGCCAGCACAACTTGTTCAAGGAAAGGTCATGGAAGTTCCATAGACACATCTAAACTCCATTGAGGGACTGAATTGTTGGGCAGAGGGCTGTAGGGACCATGGTCTTGGGGAACATCTAGCTCAGTTGGCATAACACAGTTTGTAAAGAAAATATTCTACATTCTACCTTGGTGAGTAGCATTTGGGGTCTTAAAAGCCTGTGAGCAGCCATCTAACATACTCCACTGATCTCACCCCTTCGGGAGCAAGGGAGAATGAAGAAAACAATATACAAAGAAAAGATTAGTCCAAAGGACTAATGGACCACAACTACCACGGCCTCCACCAGACTGAGTCCAGTACAACTAGATGGTGCCCGGCTGCCACCACTGACTGCTCTGACCAGGATCACAGCAGAGGGTTCTGGACAGAGCTGGAGAAAAATGTGGAACAAAATTCTAACTCACAGAAAAAGACCAAACTTACTGGCCTGACAGAGACTGGAGAAACCCTGAGAGTATGGCCCCCGGACACCCTTTTAGCTCAGTAATGAAGTCACCCCCGAGGTCCACTGTTCAGCCAAAGATTAGACAGCCCCATAAAACAAAATGAGACTAATGGGGCATAACAGTCCAGGGACAAGGGCTAGAAGGCAGGAAGGCACAGGAAAGATGGTAATAGGGAGCCCAGTGTTGACATGTTGTGGGGTTGTTAACCATTGTCATAAAACAATATATGTACTAACTGTTAAATGAGAAACTGTTTGTTCTGTAAACCTTCATCTAAAGTACGATAAAAATAAATAAATAAATCTGCTCTTACTCTGTGGCAGGACCGTCGGATAGAGGAGCTTATGGGGCTGTTAAACCGGTACCGGCGAGTGAACGAGATCGTGATGGCAACTCAAGGTGAAAACAAGTGGGGATCCTACAGTTTTCTCCAAATGATATTCCATCTATTGTGTTAAACCCAGGGGCAGTTGTGCCATGAGATTCTTCACCTCCATTTAGAGAAGATCCCCTACTGGAGAATGGAGCTGTTCAGACTGTCCTGGATGGTGGGAGTTGGCAGCTTATGATTTACAGAAATTTTATCAGATGGCATTCAATTCAGAGCTGCCAGGAACTATCCAGAGCATCAAGGAAATAAAGCTTTCAGCCTTTAACCCTTTGGAATCCCTATTCTTGGAATATCCCCTGTACATCTTCCCAGAATACCCCATAGAGGCAGTGAGTAGAGTTCAACCTGGAGCAAAAATCAATCCAGTGCCCTCTCTGGGGATTAGAGCATGTTTACCTCCTGGGGAATCTAAAAGCCCCCCACCCACCAGCCAACTCAGAGGGCTCTTTGAGAGCCTTCCTTGAGGCACTGGGTGCCTGGGTTGCTTCAGGAATTCACAGCACAAGGAGATCTCTTTGTGTTTCATATTTGCTGCCCAGAGTGAATGCAACATACAGGCAGTGCTGGTGTTCTTATGGGCACAGGGGTGCATATGGCAGGCTGCCGTCCTGGTCATTCATGCCATTTACCTAAGCTCTCATCACAGAATCTGAGGAAGCAGGTGTTTCACAGGAGAGGGCTGCTTTGATTCTGGCTGAGATTCTGGGAAGATGCCAAGCCCTAGCCTGGGTTGTGGCTGACTGCTCACTGCCCTAGGGCCTCTGCCAGCCCAAGTACACATACTGCAGCCTTGTTTTCTCTAATCTTTTGTGATTTTAACAGAGGCAGCACTGGGCCAAGTCACTCTCAGAACCTGATTGCCTGTGGCCAAGCAGTGAGAAGGTTGGAGGCAGCAGGTGCCTTCCCAGTGCTTCCGCACATGAGCTTTGATCTTAAGATGACTCTTGTGAGAGCCCTTGCTTACATGCCCTGAAGAATCTTTCAGACATACTCTATGTTCCTTTATCAACTGCTTAGTTATTTTTAATGAAGAGGAGACAGTGTTAGGATTTTGTGGTACAGTTACAGGTTTCTGAACTAACCACACAGTAGTGATCATGCCTTCTGCATTAATATTTGTAGGGCCTTCAGAAAGAACTCTCTCAATCAATGAAGAAGAACTGGATGGAAGTTTCAGAAAGTGGAATGCTGTAAATAAAGGACCTGAAGAATTATTTAAGCCAGAGGTACTGTGTTTCCATCCATTTGGTGGGATTTTAGCAGACCCTTAGAGCTTTCCCTGAGCTTGAGGGAAGATTTAGTCAGGAGGATGCATGTCAGGCTACTCATCTTGAGAGGTGAAACATTAAATCAGTGGAGTAGCTCCAGAAGTCTTGGGGAGAGGACAAAGGAGAACAAGGCGTCAAAGTTTAGGCCTGTGTTTTGGTTGGGAAGGAAAGCCTGGGGATACTGGGACATAGGAGAACAGAAAAAATTTTAATTGGCTTCCTTGTGTATTTTTGTCTCTCCTCTCTGGAAGGTAAGCATAGACCAAAGGTGTTGTTTGTGTTATTTGCCACTGTTTCTCCAACAAGTAAACTAGTTGCTTATGAGTCACCTCTGACTCTTTGCCGACCCTATGTGTGTCAGAGTAGAACTGTGCTCCATGAGGTTTTCAATGCCTAATTTTTCTAGAAGTAGATCACGCCTTTCTTCTGAGGTCCCTCTGGGTGTATTTGAACCTCCAGCCTTTCAGTTAACATCCAAGCACGTTAACCTTTTGCACCACTCAGGTGCTCCACTGTTTCTTCAGCGTCTGCAGTAATGCCTGATACCCAGTAGAATTCAACAAATATTTGTTGAATGAGTGAATGAATCTTGCTCATTTAGAACAATAACTGCAACTTCTAACGCGATACCTTCCTGCTTCACAGACATCCTCTGCAGTCCCTATAATTAGCACACAATTTTCTTCTCTTCCTTTCCCAAGCCCCACACTTTTTTTTTTAATTAAAATCTGCTCCTAAGGAGAAAAGTTGAGAGCAGAACTAAAATTCTAGTAAAAAGATCAGACTTAATGGTCTGACTGAGGCTGGAGGGACCCCGGAAGACATGGCCCCCAGACTCTCTGTTAGCCCAGAACTGAAACCATTCCCAATGCCAACTCTTCAGACATAGATTAGACTGGACTATAAGATATAAAATGATACTCGTGAAGAGTGTGCTTCTTAGCTCAAGTAGATACATGAGACAAAATGGGCAACTCTTGTCCGGAGGTGAGATGAGAAGGCAAAAAGGGACAGGAGCTGGTTGAATGGAAACGGGAAATCCAGGGTGGAAAGGAGTGTGCTGTCACATTACAGGGAGAGCAACTAGGGTCACATAACAATGTGTGTGTAAATTTTTGTATGAGAGACTAACTTGAACTGTAAACTTTCACTTAAAGCACAATTAAAAAAAAATCTATTGTAAATATCTCTCTCAACTTAGGCTAGATTGAAATAAGCAAACAAAATCATAGATGCAGACCTCAGGTGAAGGAGTGGCTTCAGCCTAGGGCCTAAGATGCACAAAATTCCAGAAGAGTCAAACTGGAAAGGATCTTAGCAGTTCAGGCTAACCCTTTTAATTAAGGTAGGAGCAAATGTGTCACCCATTGACCCAGTTACCGAGTCAGAACGAGCACCCTAGATTGCTGGCACTAACAAGAGTAGTAACTGACACTTGCTCAATGCCTCTGAGTGGTCACTGTGCTGAGCACTATACATGGCTCATGTACTTGACTCCTCACAATACTCCATGGGGATCCTTATTTTATTGTGATGAAGCTGAAGCTCAGAGAGGGTAAGTCATTTGCTCTAGGTCACATGGCAAGTAGATGACAGACCTCAAACTTGAACCCAGGTCTATCAACTCACAAAGCCCAGGCTTTTAACAATTATAATATGCTGCCAGTGTTCTTTCTACAGTAGACCAAAAACATACTGGCTCTAGAGAAAAGAGGCCATCTTTTCAGTCCATGCAATACTGAAGACACAGGACTGCTTTTTTTATACCATCATTTGCTCTTGTTGTTCCTTCCACCTGTGGTGGTCTTTCCTTTCTTGCCTTCTTGGTGAACCCATTCTCATTTCTCAAGACTCAGCTCAAGTATTCTCACCTCTGATGCCTTCTATCATTCTACCTGGGAGAGGGAGCCACTTCCTCCCCTCTAATCCCATATTGTTTTATGGGTATTGGTACTATCTTAATTTACTTATCTGCCTTCTAGATGTGGGGAGTGCTTGCTCCATGCCTAGCCAGGGCCTGGCAAGCAATAGGTGTTGCTGATGTTTGTAGGTGTTTATATTAACTAGTGTTTTCTCATTGCAAGCAACAGAAATCAATTCTGGATAATCTCAGCCAAAGAGAATGTTTTTGGAAGGGTGTGCAATGGCTCACTGAATGAAAGGAAAAGCTGAATAACAAGTAAGGGCAGGGGCAGTGAAAGCTCCAGGGATCCAGGTCGCTTGTCAGGACTCTACTGCTAGGATATGCACTTTGTCTAAGACTTGGACCCAGGAGGAAAAGGCAAATTGGCCCAGCTAGATCAATATACCAGTCACTTGACATCTTGAAAGAGCAAGGCACCCGCATAGATGTATCCACCTTGGCTGTATCCAGGGAGGGAAATGTAACTCCCCAAAAGAAAAAGTCCAAGAAGGGGAAAGAATGGTAGGTGGCCCCCAAACAGTACTGTCTTTTACAATGACTCTTCTGTTTCTGGTGCAGATGCCTCCAAGATGTAGCTCTCCCACAGTGGGGCCACCACCACTGCCACAGAAATCACTGGAAACCAGGTAGGAGGCTGAGCACTTCCCTGGAGCTGCTATGCTCTCAGTTCCCTTTTTGGGATCCTGAGGTGGATGGTGACTGGCTATGCACAGTGATCATGGCCATCATCTCCTGGGTAAATCTGCCCTCCCATTGAGGCACTTCAGGCCTCAGCAGTACAACAAGGGGGCCAAAACCGTGGGATGGCCATGAGCCAGTCCTACCTCTCTTGGTTTGGGGCCCCCCTTCCCACAGACTGAGGGGCAGTGTCACTGGGACAGCACTTGGCCTCAGAAAAGAGGTGACTGTAATTCATCCTCCAGTGTATCCATCCTCCAGTGGCTCCTCAGAGCTGAGAGAGTATCCCATGATGTGTGTCTGTCATTTCTGTCAGACCCTCTGGAATGATCTATCTGTTCTTCCAAGCTCTCCAGGGAGGGCCATTTCCCCTCATAGGGAAGGTGGTCTAGTTGCTTTGAAGAAGCTTCACATAACAATGAGCTGGCCTTTGGGGTCACTTGGCTACTACCTGTCCGGTTCCCTCTAAAAGGAAACTGCTTCTGGTTTTCTGTGTCAGCTCTTTAGAACACATTTCCAAGTTGGTCTCCATGTAGGGGAGATATGGTGGCTTTACTACCAAGAGCATGCTGTGTTTCAGCCAAGGTGTCTGGGGAAGATAGCCACAATCATGAGGAAAGCTTTTCCAGAATGGTGCTGAGTCTCCAGTGCTTATGTCTTTGGGCTGCACAGCTTAGCCAGTGCTCTCAAAGATCACTTTCTGGGGCTCGTAGGACCTGTTGTTCCCCTGAGCCTTTAGCTGTAGAGAAAAATGGAAATGTCAGAGAAGGTGGTTGACCAGTCCTTAGTTTTACAGAATAAGAAAATTTGGTTTATGAGCCCACTCAGGGGAAATAAACCCTGAGGAACTAACTTGCAGTGACCAGACTCACTAATGTGTAAACAGGTGCTGTTTTATTCGTTTGAATTGAGAAGTATGACTGTCAAGAAGACTGGGATCCTTAGACCACTCATAGTGTTGCTCTTCTCTGTCCAGCTGGTGTCCTTCTCTGTGAAATAGCCTCTGTGAAAACAGACTTCCTTTGAGCAGACTGCTCAGGGTGTACAAAACCAGGGCAGAGGGTTAGAGGATCCTAGTAGGCAGTATTTTGGAGCTAAGGTGGCCTGATGTACTTGTCTTCACTCTAAGAAGACAACAGTTCCCTCCTCCCAGGATTGCTCTGGTGACTCACAGACAAGGCATAATATTGCCTTTCCTTTTGACTCTGCAGATACTGGTCTTCTTTTATAACTACACAATAGTCATTTCCCATCGATGCAATACAATTGAGTGTATTCTAGCTTTCTGAGAAATGCCCCAAACCAAACCAAACCAAACCCATTGCTGTCGAGTGGATTCCGACTAATAGTGACCCCATAGCGCAGAGTAGAACTGCCCCATAGGGTTTCCAAGGAGCGGTTGGTGGATTCAAACTGCCGACCTTTTGGTTAGCAGCTGAGCGCTTAACCACTGTGCCACCAGGGCCCCGAGAAATGCCCAGGATTTTTAATTTGAATTTAAATGACACCATGGTGTCCTCGCCAACACATTGACTAGGTTATCTATCAGGGTGGGCCAGTCTCATCTTTTATGGAATAGTTATTACTAGAGGATGACTGTTTTCTGACCACAACCCTAAGCCCAAAACAGACTACTGGTTAACCATTTGAAATGCTCTCTGCATGAATGTCCCTCCCTCTCCAAGAACTATTTCTTTGTCCACTTTCTTGTTTTTTCCAGGGCTCAGAAGAAACTCTCTTGTAGTCTGGAAGACTTGAGAAGTGAATTTGTGGAAAAGGTCAGCTCATTAATCTATCCGTAGCAATTACTTAGTGACTTCTTTGTGCCAGCATAGTGCTAGGATATACAGGTGAGGTCCTGGTGCATGCTTCATCCAGGCTTTTATAGAGTTGCTGGGGAGGTAAGACTTACATAATCATTTTGAGAACATGAGTCAAATGTGGCCCAAGGTATCCTAGAGGCAGGGCAAGTCAGGAAATGCTGCCTGGAGGTGGTGAGTAGAAGAGTTTGAGGTGGACAAAGGCTTCGTTAAAGCCCTGTGGACCAGGCAGGTTTTGGGAAATGGTGGAGAGCAGGAGGAGGTAAGGTTGGAGCCATAAGTTGGATCAAGCCAGAGAAGATCTTGAATACCGGCTCTATATCCAAAGGGCAGTTGGGAGCATTGCAGGGGTTTTGAATGCGGAAGTAATGTGGATAGAAGGAGATGATCCCAGGAGTACGATGTAGGATAATTTAGAAGATTGGAAAGGAGGCCGTTGGAAGAGTCTAGAAAGTGATTAGTAAGCCAGTGACCCTTGACCATGTGGGTGACCCCCATGTCAGAGAGGAGAGTCCTAGGCTCTTGAGCTAAGTCATTGGAGATGAAGGGATCCTGCCCTGATAGACAGCATTCAGTGGCCCACGCTACACAAGACCCCTTGGTCTCCAGCAGTGTGCCAGCCTCACTGGTGATACAAAGGAAAGCAATAAAGGCTAGAGCCAGCAGGGGCCATGGGCCCATTCAGTGGCTTTGCTCCCAGGACATCTGCCCGTGGGGTTGGCCAGTGAGTGACTTGTGTTTTCTGCCATGGGTGGTGATTATCTGACATGAAGATGGGGAGGGAGGGGTTGAGCTTTTTGGATTCAAACAGGCAAATGGTCCTGAGTTTTTATTGTTTGTGACTAACACAGGTCTCTTACCTTTTCTCCACATAATTGAATCCCTTTTGCTACTCCATAGGGCGTCGACAGGAACCAGCTCTCCCCAGTGGTACAACACAAGGTACATTAACTGCAATTCTGTCACCTGTTGAGGTTGTACTGTTTGCTAGAGTGTTTTTATTTAGCAAGTTACAGTTTTTGTAACCTAAAAGTATTTTAACAAAGGGAAAGAAGGCTAAAGGAAAGACAAAACTTCCTCCTCCTAGGGCTCTGGGGACCATGGTCTCGGGGAACATCTAGCTCAATTGTCATGACACTACTTATAAAGATACTGCTTTACATTCTACCTTGGTGAGTAGTGTCTGGGGTCTTAAAAGCCTGTGAGCGGCCATCTAAGATA